CTAGCCAGTGGGGAGTGCGCAATAAAAACAAAAACCCAGGCTTTAACGAGGCCCCAAATAGTAGATAGAGAGAGAGTCGCCTATTCGGCCTCGGTCGGTTTTTTTTCTTCTAAACAGATCATTTGTATTGGGGTTAGTAAAGCCCCTAAGGGAGAAATAGACACTTTTCCAGCCCGATCTCAGAAAAGGGCTTATTTAAAAACAATATTTCTGTGGGGAGAGACCGATTTCGCGGCCTCGCTCCACCGAAGAGAGAGAAAGCGTAAAAAATTTTCTTTAATAGATATTTGGGACTCTTTTCAAAAGATCGGACTGTTTTTCCCCAAACACCCTGAATCCCCCCCCCCCCCCCCCCCACCCTCCCCTCTCTCAGCTTAGTCGCCGCGAGACGACACGGCGACTAAGCTTTATGCAAATGAATGCGCAATTACGTCGAGATTATGCAAATGAGCACATGATGTCGCGTGCCGATGCTAGCTAGCCAACGCGGCGTTTTGTTTTTAAATGGAGGCTAATTTCCCAGGAGATCGTAGCTGGCGGCTGGCGGGACCACACGGGGAGCCAATCAGAACGCCGTTACATTTCCTACACAATAAAGATTTAAACCTTAGAAATGAGGACCACCTTCATCCTATTACTATTATTATTAAAAGAAGGAAAGCTGCTCTACATATATCTCATTTCCTTTTCAAATGTTGCACTCAGTTCCGTTTTTAGCATCAAATAAACCCATCAAGAACAAATTATAACTTCACTCAATTGGTCCTGAACCTCAAACAAAGGTTTATTTCTTCCCTGCTGTCACGCTGCAAAACAACCTCCAAAAAATCACTTGCGATTTCTATTCCTTCCAATGATTAATTCATTTTTACTTATTGGTTTTTACGTGCGGAAACTGCCACATTCCCAAACGGGATCATCTATTAATATTTAAATTCCGCTCCCTCTTCTGAAAAGGAGCCGCGGTGAAGTTCCATCTTCTACCGCTGGGCGCATGATGGACTCTGGAATGTGCTTTTGGAAGTTTGTTGAAGATGTGCATTCACAAATAAGAGACCTGCTTCTTCCTGAAAGAAGCCGTCGGCTTTTGTTGTTTCTGGCGTCTTTCCTCAAGAGTGGAATCGGTTATTCCGACAAAAAGATGGCCGCCGACGGACGGCGGGAGGACGTAATTTCACACTCCTCTTCTCTGCCCCGGTTTTATCAATTCCCTGTGGATTCTTCTACCCCTCCCCCCCCCCCCCCCCCATCCCATCCGCGGGGTTTATTTAAATGAAGTCTCCTCATCAGCTCACGGGGTTAACACCGACACCATCAATGATTCATGGTGTCTGTGTGCGTCTCTCGATGTTGCCGTCTGTTTTTAGGTTGTGTTACCCGGAGGCCTCCGCTGGTGTTGCTCCCGGCGACGTCACCCCTCGGCTCCGTTTGGCTGGCCCATGGTGGGGGGGGGGGGGGGGGGGGATAACTCGCCCCAGCACAACAAATTACCCCGAGAGGGGGAACATACACAAATATGTCCATGCATGAAATATTAAAATGCGCGTAAATTATTCAGAGCGTCCGCCGTTTTCCTGGCGCCCGAGTGAGCTCCATGAGGCCGAGGTTCCATCTCCATAAGAACCGCGTGGACCGGAGTAATTGTCGTATTAATAACCCAAATATAGCCAATTACATACTTTTACTACACACTCCGATGAAGGGGAGAATGATTAAACACATTAATCTGCCGTGATCATCGACGTAACGGCCGGCGTGACAAATGAAAAGGGGGCCGATTAGGCGCAGGTCTGGATGGTTGCAGCTCGGCAAGAGAAGGTTCAGAAGCCCCGGCGCCGAAATGTGGCGAAAACAGCCTCATAATAAACCCGGCGCTGTGGCGGTAATGGTGTGGCCTCGCTGCGAGTGGCGCGGCCGCGTTGACTCCACTTTACCGGAGTAAACAACCTGAGAGTTTCCCCCCCGGGTCACATGGACATGATATTAAATCCTGAGAGGGAGACGCAGGGAGTGCGAGAGAGAGAGAGAGAGGGAGAGGGGGGGGGCGATGCCACCTGCAGTTACGGCATCTAATAAAATAAAAAGTATAATTTAAAAAAAGCCCGAGGACGAGTTATTGGATGGCCATGGGAATCATGTCAGGAGCTCCGACGCTCGGCTATCACATAAAATGCGTCTCTGGCGGGTTCCTTTGACGGACAGCCGGGTCCTGCATGTCGAGCCTATTCAAATGCTACCTGCGTTTTTTTTTTTTTCCGAGGAGGACGGGCTCCACTGGGGGCTTAATGTCATTCAATGGAATATTAAAAAAATATATTCTGAACCGCGAGGGAGATCATTCGAGTCCCTGCGCGCACTTCAGAGGCCTTTTTTTTCTAAATGCAGAAATTAATTTGATTCAATGTTTAAATTCTGATGTTTCTTGGATGTGCTCACAGCCCCCACCCCCTTCCCCCTCCCCCCCCTCCCCCTTTGCCTTAATCAAAGAGGCAACGGGGCCCCATCAGTTATTAAGGGTTGTGGAGATCCAAGGGGAAGCCTGCGGCGTGCAATAACAGAGTTAACTCAGCTCACTGATGCTGGTTTAAGAAGAGACATCAGCTGGGCAGCTTTCCCTCACAGCAACATTAAAGACAGAGAAAAACGACTCATCCTCGCCCCCCCCCCCCCCCCTCCCCCCCGGCCCCCCACCACCCCTTCACTTCCCTCCCGTCTCCTCGCGCCGCCCTTCCTCGCTGCGGCGATCATTACCGCCTACCTTCAGAGAGCGCGCAGCCGTGGGATGGAGGTGAAAAGCGGCCTCCTCGTTAATTGGATGCGGCCGTGAATAATGCAGCGGACCGGAGCTTGGATTCTCCTCAGCGGCGCGGCGGTGAGCAGCGGACGCCGCTGTTTAAATGAACGGCGTCGGTATTCGTTAGGTGAGAAGAAAGCCGTTCACCTTTATTTAATCATTCTTCTGGGTGTCTGTGGGAGACTCTCGAGCCTTTCATCGTGTCCTCGCCTCAAGCTGCTGCCAAGCAAGTGTTCTTTGTGGTGGCCATTAAAAGCGCCAGAGGCTGCGCTGCACTTTCCATCTCCCATCGGGGGGGAATTTGTCTACCTTTGGCCCGATGGGCCCCCCTTAGCTTTGCGGCACGGTCGATACAGCAGATTCTGCTGGTCTTTGGTCCGGCGACCTCACAGTCGGGAGCTGATCCTCTGATCAGTGGACTCTTCCCATCGCTGTCCTGAAACTGCAGTTCCTCTAACGGCCACCAGGGGCCGGCTTCAAACGCAAATCAATCAAATCAATCTCTACAGCTAATATGACGTACAGGGGTGAATTTCGTAACGACAGCGACTCAAGGGGCGTGGCTTCTTTATAGGTCGCTAGTTGTTAGCTCGCTGCTCTGTAGCGGCACTGGGGGGGGGGGGGCACCCCCCAGCTCCCCTGATGATGCACCTCTTGCTGGATTCGTGGGGCCATCTTGAGCTTCTGAGCTGACTTTATTCCCCTCGGCTAATGACAGTCCCTGTTTCAGTGTGCTCTGATGTGGGGAAGGTCTGCTTTGCTCTGGACGAGCGTTACGCGTGCGAGCAGACCTTTTAATGTAAATCCAGCTCGGCTCGTACTGTCTGACAGCCGGCACTGGAAACAAAGCGCTCCGTCGATATATACGAACACGGCAACGTGTTGCTGCGCGAGTCGTGCCCCATTGGTGTGTGTTTGCTATCACTGCTTAATTAAATCTACAGCGCTACTTCAAATGGCCCTGCAGAAGAAGAATTCACAGGGTGCTCGAGGCAAGCGCAGAAAGAGCGCAAATAGAGAGGCGGAGACTGGTTAAAGAGCGCGACGTGAACGGATCCGTGTGATTCCCCCCGAGATTCACGGTGAACGCATCACGTCTCCATTTGAAAGAAACCCTTTTCCATTTACCCTCGTTTATGTCTCGATTCCACACCTGGTTGTTAGTTTAGAGGTGGATTGAAATACACACACAGATAGAATCGGGTGGTGGTGGTGGGGGGGGGGGGGGGGGCTCGTACCGTCGGGCGGAGGGTCGGCGGCCGCGGACGCGTTGGAGGCTCTTTCTCCCGGCCCAGTGTCGGTGTCCTGCCGCCGTGCGCTTTGGACCGCAGGCGCCAATCGAATCAGCGGCATCACCTCTTTCTCCTGCTCGGACAGGCCGTCCTCGGGACGCCGCGGCCCGCCGGCGGGCAGTCCTGTAGGAGGAACTCCCGCCGCCGCGCTGCGCGATGGCGTTGTCCACGCCGCCGTTGTCCACGCTTGGTTTGGGTAAACCCGAGGCTTCTCCCTGCGTCTGGTTCTCTGCCGATTCCACTGCCGGCCCCCGCTCCGTGTCCTCCACCCCCTCGCCTCCTCTCCAGTACCTGAAGGGCTTCATCAGCGCGTTGACAAACTCAGCCAACACGCTGTTACTGGTGTGGGACTGGGGGGTGGAAGAGGGGGCGGGTGAGAACGCGGGGGAGGATCCGAAAAAGCCGCCGTCGCCGTCTTCTTCTTCTTCTTCTTCTACCTCGTGAGCTGAACCTCCGTGTCTCTCCGGGTCGGCGAGGCCCGTGGTGGTGTTGCCGCCCTTTGTGTCATTGAACTCCTCCAGTTTCCCCCCCCAGCCCTCCTCCGGCTTTAGGTGGATGACGACGTGCTCTTCGGAGGTCTCGGAGGAGTTGTCGATCCCGGCGATGGATCGGACTCCCGCGCCGTCCAAGTCGACCAGGCCGGTCCAGTCGGAAGTCTCCGGAAAAGGGTCCAGGCGCTCGGCGTCGGAGACGGAGGAGGAGGAGGAGGAGGAGGAGGAGGAGGAGGCGGGCTCTGCTGCTGGGTTCAACACCTGAGGCTCCGCAGCCCGGACCCCCGCCAGCCGGTGGGCTGCAACACACACACAAAAAGCAACATTTTAATAAAAGCGCCGCGCTTTTCTTCCACTGTAGCGGCTTCATCTACTGCTGCAAACGCAGAACCTCACGTTCCCTCTCTGCTCCCACTGCGTCAACCTGTTACGGCTCCTCATACAGGCTTAAATTCTGTGCCTGCTGCTGGGCAGGAGGTTTGGATATGGATCGTTTTTAAATGAACCAACACGCAGCTCCTGCAATATTAATGTGATTGAATCGACAAGAACCAAACTCCCGCTATTAAACAATAGATTGGGGTTTTTCTTGTGTTTCTGTCAACATTTAGCTGTCTGAAGGACAGCGAACGTTTTAAACATTGATGTCGACGTGCAGACAGCTTCGTGCGACGCGGAGGTTCATCTTCAGCTGCTTGTTATGACAAACGCTCCGTGCTCCGCTCCCACGCTGTTCTTGTTGACTCAAAATGATTGGGTTATGTCGATGCTTTGCCTCAGTGAGAATTTCATAACATGGCATTGTGACAGATGGAATTGTCAGTTTTTTTTTTTTTTTACTCTTATGCGTGGAAATATGTATGTATTTCGAACTACAAAAGTCAGTCTGCAGTGTGCTAGAATCAATGCAAGCGGGAACAAATGAAAGATGAGCTCCAGATGAAGCATTATGGAGTGAATAAGTGCACAACACTAGTGGGGTGTAGGGTCAATCCAACCTAACTCCTCCCTGGAGGGCCCCTCTGTCGTTGCGGCGGTACCTCGGTAACAGAAGGCGTCGTACAGGGCCGCGGTGTCGGGGAAGCCGGTGCGGTTGGGGTTGTTGTACACGGTCCGCACCCCGGGCTCGTCCCCGCCGCAGTTCTTCCTCGGGACGTTGATGGGGTAGCGGGAGCTGCCGTCGGCGAGCCAGCCGGGGTCGCACTGGTCCAGGCCGGCCTGCCAGGCGAGGTAGAGCTGCCCGACGGTGGCCAGCTGGGCGCCCAGGGAGTGGCAGTGGGTGGAGGCCGTGGCCAGGCTCAGCTTCTCTGGCACTGAGGAGTGGAAGACTTCGCCTGTGGGGGGGGGGGTGGGGGCATTGAGAGGAGAGACGAGGCTCAGAGGCTGACGGCGTTGCAGCCTTTGTCTTTGGAGGTTTTACTAAAGTTCAGTGAGCTATTTCAGTGAGACAAGAAAAACTTGACCAGTGTTACACAATTTTGATGACATGACCGTAAAACTCAAATGTTGAAGTTCCCATGACGAGAACATGGACAGCTCTCAGTCAGTGGCGATCAGAAGGTAGCCCCGCCCTCTTTAACGCTCCATTTGACTGTGACGTGAAGTGGAGAAGAATTTCAACAAGAGATTGAGACCATGAACTCATGTTTGCAATGTTTACTGAGGGAATAAATCAAGAGAGAAGTAGACAGGTTTTCTCATAGACTTCTATAGGAATAGGAGTCGCCCCCTGGTGGTCATTATAGGCAATACTTTTTTTAGGTTCTTCAGCATTGGCTTCGTTTTTCAAATTCTGAGGCTGAAGTGCTTTGTTTATTGGGAGGATTGTGAAAAAAATGCTTATTAATTCATTTATGGTGGAATAAGAAAGAAATTATAAAAAGCTGAAAAGTATTTTTCTTCCCTTTCATTTTACTAAATGAAAGAAAACCAAAGCATGCTGACATCCATGCAGGGAAGGAAAAAGGCACATGGTGTTGTAATGAACATTCATTTAGTTTTTACTTGTAGTTATTTGTTTTGTTTTTTTCCACACAAAGCACAGCTAGTAATTTTAGTTTGATTAAAGACAATTATCTGTCGATTCTTCCAATCAGGTTGGTAATTTCCCTGACTGAAATCGTCTGCTGATGGATACAAAGTCTATAGGTGGTCCTGCAATCTTCTCTGCTCGGCAGCTCAGTCGCACGTGGGGTTGTTCGTACCTCTAATAGCTCTGCTACTGTAACTCCTACCGCTATTATCTTCAATAACAGTTGTGGGCCGAGCAGCTCACAGCAAGTGACCCAGACAGACGAACCCCCGCAGTGTGTCTGATTGTGCTTAAAAAGCCCGCGCTGCGCGTGTGATCGTTCAGTGGAGGATGCAAATATCACAAACGCCGCCGCGGACTCGTTGATAAAGTGAAAGCAGAGCACAAGCAGCGCTGATATCCGTCTCCTTCAGCCCAGCGCAACACACCAGGGCGTCGGGAGGGATGACAGTAGTTCTCAAAGTCTGCAGGTGCATGCTGGGAAGGTTGGCTTTATGAGGGGTGAGCAGGTGACGGTCATTCACCAGTAGAAAGCGGGCATTGGATATACCCGTGCATTGCCTGTGTCTTCCTGCCGGCGGCCCTGTTGGCGTGTGTCCGTGTGGAAGTGCTGTTTGCAACATTGTCAAGAACCGCTAATGGGTTGCACCCCATTGAAGTGAAGGGCGGTTCGGCTGTGATATCAGTGGGAACTGCAGTCAATGAGGCGCGTCGCTATATATTCCCGCTACAGATGTTCTACCGAAGTCCCTCACCCCCCCCCCCCCCCCATCCTCCTTTTGTGTCTAAAATGCACCGAGGTTGAATTTTTACTGCATCTCCTCCGGATCCCCAGGAACAAAATCTTCTGGTGAAAAAGAGGATGAACGAGCGGTTCGGAAGTGTGCCAAGGACACACACACACCACTCACACCACATACAAACCGATCTACAATGTCGGGATAACAAAGGAGGAGTTAGCTTGAAAGGGTTGCTTCTTGAACCTCGGGGAGGGCCAAAGCCACCAGGAACTTCAGCAACCTCGGAATTATCTGGAACATAACCAGGCAAACTGCTCAGCGGATGTATGTGGGCAGGGATTTAAGGTTTAACGAACACTTCCATCTTCCTTAACCACAAGTAGTTTGAAATCCCAAAGAGGTGCAACATCATTTCGATTTAGCGGAGTTTACAGTCGACTGCGGGTGAGTGAAGAGCAAGGCCGTGGATCGCGTGTGTGGCTCCTGTCATCAGTGTATGAAAAGGGGTGAGTGGGTGACTTAGTAAAAGCGCCTTGAGCGTCTGGAAGACGAGAAACGCGCTGTACGGGCTATTCACTGCTTAGTTACCGTTGCCGTGCCTGTCAAGCTTCCCCCTCCAGCACCAACAATGGACATGCTGCTACGAGAAAGGAAACTAAAGCTACGTGTCCCAGGTGAGAAGCCGCCCTCCTTGTCAGTCGGTGACCCCTGTAGGAGACGTGTAAATGAAGGAGCAGCTAGTTAGCTGCCTAACGTTTGTAGCCTACAGTATGTTAGTAAAAGTTCAGTCTCATCTGCAGGAGGTTGTAACATGACAGCTGGACTCAACGATGTCCGTCTTTCTCCCGGTCGCCTCCACGGCCTCTTCTCCGATTGCCCACTTCCTTTCCATTCTCACGGAGCGTTGTCTTGGTTACAGCGTTCTCGCGACGCCCGATCTGCAACTTGGTGAACCCGTGCACGACTGAACCCAGAACGCACGGCCGAGGCTCTCGACTCCTACCTTGAAGCTGCTTGGCGAAGCAGTAGACATCAAACAGCTCATCGGGGGACCTGTCGCCGTAGTTACGGACTCCGGGTGAGTCCTCGCGATCCCCATAGCAACCGGGCCGAGGCGACTGGATGGGATACCTTAAAGAGAAACGGGCGACAGAGAGCGTGAGTGAAAACTGAAAGAGGGATTCATTCAGCGCGGCCATGAGGCAAATAAGGCCGACGCAGACAAACTCTGCTCCTGTGGACGAATATGTGCTCACACACACACACACACACACACACACACACACACACACGCAGGAAGATAAAAACACAATGAGTTGTCTGCCTGGAAGATATTTTCCAAATACATTACCCAAAGAAAGTAAAGTAGCTGGAATGCTAAATGCTAAAGCGAGCTAACATTCATTACACGTCACAACAACCTCAGGAAACCATTTCACTAGATACAGCATCTTGCTTCCTTTAATTATTCTGCCCGCAGTCCTAGTTTCACAGAAATAAACCGTCCTGTTGTTTCACTTGAAATTGTTTTAAAATGTGTTTGATGCTCCGACAACTTAATAATTCCAGTAGAGAGGAAGGAAGTCAAGGAGAGGTTAATAAGAATCAGGAAGTCTTCCAGCGGCTTGGCGAGCCTTCCGGGGCGGAGAAAACAGCGATCTATATTCCCGGCTCCATCTGAGCAATTATTCCACGAGAACATTGATTCAAGCGGCAAAGAGGCTGATTAAGAGATTACGCCGGGCACGCAGGGACTGTCCTATAGGAACACGCGATACACCAATGCAGACACCATCAAACGTAGGTGACATTCGCCCAGCGACCTGCTTCCAGGGGAACAAAAGAACCGGGTCTTGTAACGTCCACGGCCTCTTTCTCTCTGCTCGGCGGTGGCTGATGAAGCGATGGCTGATGTCTGAATTCTTTGCCCCCCCTGCCCCCAACCGCATTAATTGGCCGCTTTCCTCCTGGCTGACGTGCAGCCGCGGCCTCCTTGATCCGGACCAATTAGGTGACTCCCGAGTGAGAAAAACAAGAGCGTAGGAAGCAAGGCGGTACGAGAGACGGGAGAGGGATGTGAAAAACAGTTGATCTGCTGGACAGAAATGTAAAAATGCGAACGCACGGGTGGAGCGTTTACCAGGGACTTCATGGAAGGTGGCAGAATGAAGCACACGCAGCTGCCTGACGGACGGTTAACCGCCTTCATTGTGTGCAAACAAGCAATTAGGTCCAATTATGCGGCACAGTTTTGTGTCCCTAAAAGCTCCAAACAGAACTAAATGACTTGCAGGTTGCGACACTTTGACGGAGCACGTTTGCAGGACGCATTTAATTACGTTTGATCGTGTGGCAAATTATCAAAAAACATCTGCCCAAAACAAGCCTCCGATAGAGATTTTAAATAGAGCAGCCCGGTCCAACAAACAATAGCTGCCAGCACACCTCCCCAGTTCCAGCCCCGCGGTTGCTAATTAGGATCTACGGCGGGACACGCTAAGATGCTGCTGCAGTGAGATAATAAAGGGGGCTACAGAACCAACGTTCCCACCCCGGATCTCAGGCCGTGCGGCTTCCTCGGGCTATCATTTAACCAGAAGGAGTGGTAACCATAGTGACAGAGCGTCCTCTCATGAAGGGGCGAGGAGGAGAACCTCACCGCACGGTCTGGTCGGACAGCCAGCCGGCGTCACAGTTGTCGTATCCGTCGGCGAAGGCGGCCTGCAGCTGACCCGGGGTCGCTATGACGGCCGAGTTCTCCAGGCACACCCTCTTGGCGTCGGCGAAGGACAGGGCGTAGCGGTCGTCGGGGGCCCGGTAGTGGAACAGCACACCTGGAGCGGGGGGGGGAGGGGGGAGACACGGCCCTTGTGTGAGAGCAGAGGGGAGTGCGAAGAAAAGTGCGCGCAAGAAAAAACAATTGGAAGCCGCAAAATGGAAGAAATAAATTAACGTGAGTGAGACACGGCCGTCGGCTGTGAGGGGAGGACATTCCACTTAAACGGGACCAGATTAGCCGCTGAAGTGTCCGTCTAACGCTCCCTCACCTCCCAACGCCGCCTGCCGCGAGGAGCCGCGTGGGCGTCCAGCCGTTAACGCGAGTCCTTTATCGCCGGCGGCCGCGTCGAGGAGAGTTCGCAGACGGGTCCCGCATGGCAATTTCAGCATTAGCGCTCCGGGGCTGCGGGCCGGACACAAGCCGCCGTGTCACCGCGGCCGCGTTATCCTCTTCACTGAGCCGGGGAGCAGAAAGCCTCTCTGCTAAGTCCTCTCCCCTCGGAGTCGCGTCCGGACGGGAGATGCAAAGCTCGCCGGCTAATTCGCACACCGGAGAGACGCAAATGGGTCTGCTGTCAGGTTTTTTCCTCGTGAGGGTTGAGTACCTTGCGCCTCTATTTTTACCCTCTGTATCCTCACACGTTCCCTCACACGGTCTCCTGAGGGAAGAGCAGGAAGGCACCGTCTGTGTGGAGGCTCGAGGCCTCCATTGCAGAACCATCGGCGTCCCTTGGCGATATCGGTTAGTACACAGCGCTGATAAAGTTGTTTAGAGTTGGTCTGAAATGTGAATTCTTGGCACTTTTGGCGAACGCAGTAGAATTATTTTGGTAATGCATTGCGCGTATTTATCTATTATTGAACGTTTGGTGTGTCTTGCACATGTAATGCTTACAGTACCCTTACTACTCGTATCGTTTACACTGGCGGGTCCAGCACAATGCAGCGCACTAGGAAGTACACACTGTACATAAGTGTACTGACAGATGCATCTGAATTGAGACACATCGATCTTTGAAGTTGCCGGGCGATTTTGTTTCCAGTGATTTGAATCCACACATTTAACGTCAGCTGACTAACGATAAATCGAATTACTACCGTCAACATTGCCAGTTGGAAGCAGCATTTCACGCCCACTGGAGGACGGTGGGGCAAAAAAAGACAAATAAAGACTTACAATATGCACGTGCCCGGTGCTGATACACCCTCCACATCTCACCACGGACGAGCTATCAACGGTATTGTCCTCTAATTGTTGAGAAGCAGACGATTGAACGCTCAATATTTGCCGCAAGATGGAGACTAAACAAGGAGCGAGTAAGAGAGGAAGGACATCTCGAGGCTTGTGCCCACACAAATCGCTCCGTTAGAAGAGCTCCGTGGATTAATATGATATTGATAAAGCCCAGCAGCATCGATACCTGCTAATTAATACTTAAGCACTCAGTAGAAGTAGCGTGAGGACGGCTGTGGTTTGCCGTCTAGTGTGACGGCCAATTAAGACTAAGCCCTGGAGACGGCTGGACCTCGCCAGCTGCGTAATTGGTTTCTCTCTGAAGGAGCTGTTTTCATGGCGCGTTAATCGATCGGCCAACAGGGCGCAGGGTCTCCGTGGCAGCGTGACAGGGGTCCCTGCTCGCCGACATGCAGACTGGCCGCGATGGAGAGAGACGAGGTCGCTGCGATGACTTAAGAAAGGCAGGCAGCCTCCTCGTTGAAATAACGGAATCGCAAAGACGTCGTTCCCACACGCGTGTGCGCAACCTGCATGCGTGCCAGTGAGGTGAAACCAGGTGGGATACGACGCGTCTATTGCTGGGTGAAATAATAAGGCTACTGGCGGCCGAGAGGCGTCGTTATAGCTCATTATAAAAAATAATGAGTGACCTGGAAATAATCAGATGAAAGCTCCGCAGGTCTGAAATACCTTCAGAAAGTCGCCGTGGTTGTCCTGCAGGGAGCAGCTTATGGGTGACTCCACTAGTCCGGGTGTCCTGGAGGCCTATTGGGTTAACACTGTTAACGCCGCCGGGTTCCCACCTCATTGGGTCGGTTCGGCTTATCGCACACAATCAGCACGCGAGCGGCCCGGGTCAACTAGTTCCTCCGCACCATCGTGCACACGGACAATACACAACCAACGGGGGGGAACGGATGTGTTATCCTGACGTGGAACACGGGCTCATTAATATTCATAGTGGGGGAGGTTGAGAACATTGGGAGAGCTGCACACAACCGAGAGAGGAAGAGTGTTAATTATGGATAATAAATGATGTATAACGCAGAGAATGAAATAAACCGCGTTAATTACTTTCCGTATCACGACTTGTCATCAGTTTATGTAATATTGTATTTGACGAGATGATATTAATGTCTCTTTGCAGGGGAATAATGAGGTTTGCGAGAATAGTGGCACATTCTTTGTATGTTCTAGTAAAGCTTTATTGGTGCGACTGTCCAGTGTTTATATTCCTGTCCAACACATTATAATTATATAATTACATTACAATAATAATAGCAGGTGGATGAAACTTGAATTAATTCAGGACCCTTCTTATCATCGTTACCCTCATTGTCCCTCAGCTCACAATGGAAGGCTTGGCTAGCAATAGCTCTTCTACTCTACTAATTCATGTTTAAAATGTTCTCCATAAACAGACAGTTTCCAAGTGTTTTATGTGTAATTTAAACACACGCAGTTTGGTTTAATTGAAAAACGATCTTTAGGCCTACAGCTTTCTGCTGAGCACAAGTGATATTTAGAACTACAGACGTAAAGCTTTACAACCTGGAGAAAGGTCGGATAGCTGTCGGATTATCTCCATCGTTTACAATATTAGAAATGACTTAAAAACTCTTATTTACTATCTTCTAGTGGCTAGCCAGCTAGCTACGCAAGCTAGCTGGCTACTACTAGCATGTTTCATTGTAACTAGCATGAAGCGAAGTTTGTTTTAGCATCACAGCTCCAATTCAAAATGGCTGCTTTACAGGGGGGGCGCATTTGTCCTCAGATTCACCTGTGACCTCCAGGGGGACGGTGTCCTGCTCGTCGCTGATGCCCACCACTACCTCGCAGCGGTACAGCCCGGCGTCGCTGGAGCGCAGCCCCGACAGAGCCAGGCTGGCGTTGTAGCGGTTCCTGTTGTAACCGGGCAGCGTGACGCGACCCTGGAAGGCCTTCTTCACCTGAGGGCGGAGCAAACGCCGAGGGAGGGAGACCCGTTGTGTCATTTCCTTAAAAAAAGAACAAAGCCGACGCCGAACAAATTCACAACGGCGGCGCCTCTGGTTATCTGGCGTACCTTGACCACGTTGTCTTTGGCCACCAGCACCGGCTGTTCCTTCTGCAGGCCGTCGGAGCCCCTCTGGCCCCAGACCTTGGTCCACTTGATCCTGGGGGGCTCGTGGGACGACCCGGCCCCGGGGCGGAGGGTGAAGAGGCAGGGGAGGAGAACGGTTTGGGACAGCTCCTCGCTGATGGTCTGATGGGTCACCTTGCGCATGTTCACCAGGGTGTCAACGTGGGCTTCGCCTGAATGGGGAGAATGGGGAGAATGGGGGTGAGGGGGGGGGACACAATCAATGCAGTCTTTTAAATGAAGCCACAGGACGCCATTCCTCATTACACTGGAAATATGTTGGGTAATTGCTTCTCGTTGCGTAAGACACGCTCTTCTTCTGGATTGCTTTGTTCCATCTGACTCCCCCGGTCGTGGCGTGAAAGGAACAGCGGCTCATTGTGCTTCTGTGATTATATGTTATTGATCCAGCAGACCATCAATGTGCAACCTGAACAGCGTGAGGCATATTGTCTCAGGTTTAATGAACGCAAGAAAAAAGGATTCACAAGGGTAATCCGGGATTTACACATTAATGACTCACTCCACAAATAAATATTATTATACATAAATTACATCAAAATCCACAGAGTAATGCAGTGACATTCAATATGCATAAATATATATATCTATGTGTGCAAAAATATTTGTGTTGAGAGCGCCGTTCGTTTATAAATCAAAAAATACATTTGCGCACTCTTTTGTGTGCATGGTGGCAGGACGAGATTGTGAAGGGGGAAGATATCAAAAGTGCTTTCATAAGCCATACATCAAACCTGCGTGTGCATTATGGGATCAATATCAACCACCTCTTTGCAGCTTAAAGCACCGCCGCCGCCGCCGTCCAGATACAAATATTACTTTCATCACAACAATTGATGACAGAGTGAGAGAGCATTATCATAAGGATTTCACAGTGCCTTTAGAAGATATCAGTCGTTATGTTTTGCAATATTGCACTGCATTTTTCTTTGTTTGTCCCCCCTAACTCATTTTACGGCGGGAGAGTCACATCATGCGTTATCATTACGCTCTAATCCTGTGTCACCTTGCCTGAAAAGACAGAGGTGGCTCACTCCCATTTCAGAGGTAGATGTGAATTCCCCTCTCACACAGTAGCGATACAGGTTATCGTCTCTGAGCTCTGCGTCGTGTGCGTGCAAATGAGGTTTACCTGCAGTAAAGTCCCAATTTCAGATTATTTTCCAGCTCTCATTATCAGTCACTATTCCCTTCCTGCTCTCTACTGGGAACGCTGGCAAAACATGTGCCTGCGTCCTAATCGAATTAGCTCCAAAGAGCGGCGACGCGGCGTGCATCTGCAATCAGCGCGCACATTTTTTTTTTTTTTGCAACCGTGAGGTGGACATTTGAGTGGAAGCACATAAGACAGAGAGAAGAGAGAGATCACGACGAGAGGAGACAAAGGAGCCCTCCCAAGGTGGACAAAAGGAGCGTATTGATCTGTTTTCATTAGAGTCGGTTTCCACCGCTCACTCTGTGCGTTTTGTCCTGATTCGGTTGCGTCTGACTGGATGTGCGTTTACGCGCTGCGGGCCGCCTCCCGTCTGTAATCAAATGGCAGACAGTTGGAACGATGTTTTTCCGGCGGTCACGCTGTGCTTTGACCACTCCGACCTCCTCCCCCCCCACACCTCGGCAGTGCGACCCCCCCCCCGCCAGCATTCAGATGAGCATTTTTCAGGTGTTTGCTTATTTTTCGCCTCGCAATTTTTTTTATCTTACAGAGCTTACAGAGATATTCAGTGTATTTTCTTTTCCCCCCCCCTTACTTTCAGGATTAGATTTTCCCCTCCAGTCCTGCTGAGAAAGTTCACTTCATGATCCAGGTCAACTTTATTCAGCCTCATCTGTAATTTTCCATTTTGCGGCACCGAAAAGTACGTGTGGGCGAAAAACAATGCAATGAAATTCGGGCAGACTACCAATGAGCAGAATCTCGGAGTAGCCAGTGGCGATAGCTGTGTAGCTGTTGAGTGTTGCAAGGCTAAACATTCTGGATGCACATCTGAGGAATGGATCAATAACATCGCCAATGCACTCGCCTCCTTATCCCGCCTGCAACCCCCAGCTCCCACCAGCCAACTGCAGCCCGGCCCGACGACCCTCAAAAAACAAAAGTCCACGTCTTCACGATCAAATGATCCGAAAATTGTGAAAGAAAAAAAAGGAGACAATTGAATGAACGAGTATTCAAACAGAGGAGCCGCGATATTATATTACATTGACCTGCTAGCGGCGCTAGCACAACTAACGCTAAGGCCGTCGCCCCAGAGGAGAAGGGGCAGCGAGAGGTCAGAGGTCAAAGTGGTTTCAGTTGATGAGAGAACTCGAGAGGCAGCTGATACATGAGATTTGCTACATGATGCATGATGCATGACTCTGTTTGAGGAGCTGAAATCAAAGTAGAATTTGGAACCAGTTGTTCTGCAGGATTGCTCGGTGTGTTGTTGGTGTACGCATCAGCGATACGCATTTTATTCTTTAATACTCTTGACACCATGAGAATACTGTTCCTTGCTCCACGTGTACACGAGGGGGTCGTTGCTAGTGGGGTAAAATGCACAAAGAAGGGTGGTTGTTTTTCTTTCTAGAAGAAATTTCACCAAAAGTGTTTGAACTGTATAAGGGTGTGTATATGTGTTTGTGCGTAGGTGCGTGTGTGTCTGCACTCTAATGCTCGCGCAAGTGTTCACATATCATCTGTCATTTGCTATTCATCGAGCACACACACACACACACACACACACACACACACACAGACACACACACACACCATTTCTCATTCCTCACTGGGTGGATAATGTGACTTTGAGCACATACAAATAGAAGGCGTGTGGATTGCTGTCATTGCTCATTCCTGCAGTGTCTCACCCCCCCCTCGTCCCCCCCGCCTCCCTCCCTCCCCTCACCTCCCTGCCAGAGCCCAACATCAACCCTCCCATCTCATCTTCTCTTCCCTGCAGACGTACAAATAAACACACACTTCTTCCCTCTGCTCTCGGCCACATCGTCTCAGACAAAAAAAAAAAGAGGAAAATCTCAATAATAGTTAAAAGTCTGTTCAGTCCAAAGATAATGTGATAATGAGTTTGCTCAAATATTATATATTATAAATTCTGTCCTCCAAAGATATTGCCGGGGTCCATATGCAAACCTACTCCCTTTGAATGAGTTATTTCTAGCAGTTTTCCACTGTATTCATGCTAAGCTAAGATAACTGGGTCCCAGCTTCATAGCGAGTTCTGCAGGAATGAGTCCTAAAACCAGGAAACGCTGCAGGTCTCGAGTCTAAGACAATGTTTTTTTGTACTTTAACGTAACTGTAAATTATATCATTTATTCACAGAGCCGACGTGCAAGTTTTTCCTACATTGTTAACAGGCTCTAATTAACCGTCTCAGTAACAACAGCACTCTGCAGAGGTGAAAATGCCAATTCTGTGATTTAGCCGACTTTCTACAGCAACAGGAGAGGGTGAAGAGAAAAAACGATTCCCAGTTTGAGTTGGTTTCACTCGATGGCAGCAGCTGTGTTCGCTCACACTGGCAGAGAATAAAAACTGTTGTGGAAAAGGTGAACGAGCGACAATCGACTCGGGCACGACGGCGACGGCTGAGAGGGGAAATACGTGGGGAACAGAACCGGGAAAGAATGTGTACCCGGCAAATTGGAGTGATGCGATGTGGAAAGGGACTCGAGAGGGTTTGATGGGAAAAGCTGAGATGCACTTTTGAGATTCAGCGGGAGGTGGACTGACATGGTGTCACAGTCACACACACACACACACACACACACACACACACTGGGAGAACACGTCGTTTATGGGAGGCTTTCAGTTCCCGCTCCCCGCTGTCGCTCTCTTTGCTTTATCCTCCTCGGGGATGTGGTACTCATCTTTGTTTACCACACACTCCCTTCAAGCGCACACACACACACACACACACACACACGGAGTAACGCACGGTCCCAGAAGACAATGGAACTGCACATTTTCAACCACCTCGCCGAGAGCTGTTGGAAAACAAAAGCGGGCGAACGTTTTCTTTGGCTGAGAGGCATCCGAGCTGGTTAATCTGCTCGCCAGGTTCCACCTGGATGAGCACCGTTTGGCTACTTAAGTTGCCAAAAAGAAGTCAAATAAGCTTCACAATCAACATCCCCCCCCCCCCCCCCCTCCTCCGCGGAACCACCTCGGAAAAACGTTTATGTTTGTCTCCGCGCTGGTGCTGCCAAAACTAAATAAAATAAAACCAATCGGCGATCCCCGAAGCCACAGCGTGAAGGACACCAGGGGAACGTAATGAAAACAAGAAGAAGAGAAAGCAATGTTCTCGTTCTTTGAGGTAATGAATGTAAGCCAGCGAGGGCCCCCCCACCCCCCGATGCCGCCGCCGCATCAAATCTACATTTAGATGAAAACGTTATCGCGAGCTTAACCCCCGAGAAGCTTTCTTTTGTTCAATATCTACCCGGGGTTGATATTGCTCTTCGCCATTCTCCAAACGAGGCTGACGAAGAGGAGGAGAAGTGATGAAAACTGGACGTCAATGGCGAAAGCGTCCGCGTTCGTTCTCCCCCCCCCCAGAGGGACCTGCAGCGTTTTTACTGATGACAAAAGCCCCCTTTTCACGGCGACTTGCCGGCGTCGGACCCGTCATTCCGCCAGTCAAGTGCCACCGGCGCTGATGGAGCGCAGCCTCCGGCAGCCCAGGTGTCAGCTGACGGCGTGCACACGTGACGGATGAGCTGTCTGACAGAGGCGTGCCGCCATTAGTTGATCACTGCGTTATGAAGTGACAGCCGATACAACAACAAAAAAAACAACAACGCGCGGACCGCGCGGCGTGCTTCGCCGGTTCTCTCGGCCTTTGACCTTGAGCGTGACGGATGCGGTTTTTAATGCGCGAGGGCGCCGCAGGAGAGCGGGGACTTGATGCTCGCGCCTTTTACAGGTCAATGTTTGTTTTAGAACGCTTCCTGGAGAGAGCGAGGTGACGGCGAGTTTGTCACTGCCTCCGTTTTTTGTGACTTTGAGCATCCAGCGCACCTAAAGTACCGCGAGCACTTCAGTAGAGGCAGAAACTTTATACGATTATATAAAATATACAGCTAATGGCGCTGGCAGCTAATGGCGCCATTAGCCCAATTATTGACTCCAAACCAAAAAACAAGAATTACATTTCCAATGCTGTACATAACAATTTAGACAGAGCAACATCATCTTAGTCTATCGGGGAATATGATTGATTTGAAATGTGGACACTAGATGGATTTTTGGGGATGAGCTGGAAGAGGTTATGTGAATTATTTTCCCCTTCTGATCTGAATAGAACATCAGACCATGTAGAGTGTGGGTTTGTTTGCGTACAATCAGAAAAAACTTTTGTTTTTGTTGGAGGGGGGGGTTGCGGGTCGAGACCTCGGATGATGTACCGAGGGACAAGCGGAGAGAGCGAGAGCCGCGATATCGTTTGTGAGGATGGGCCAGGCCCCGAGAAACGATAGATAACCATGGCAACAGAGGCAGCACAGAAATCTAAATACAGGAGGAAGGAGGTTATGATCAGGACAGAAAACACACACACACACATTTAACTGTGTGTGTGTGTGTGTGTGGCCTCTTCAAAAAGCAGATCTGAGGTCATGTACTGTATAATGTATAATAATGAGGAGCCACTGCATCCCTCCTTGTTTGATCACTGGACTGTGTTTCCCTGCAGTACACACACACACACACTTACATGAAGACAAGAACAATGTTCACAACACACTCCTCACTAAAGTTCCCTGTGTGTGTGTGTGTGTGTCTATATTTGTCTGTGCACATTCACTTTCGCCCGTCTAGGCACAGCAGGTCTGCCAGGCGGACATCACGCAGGGTTTGGAAATGATGTCTCCGTGCTGACATCCTCCCCGAAACATCCCTCCCAGCTCCCTCCCTCCCTCCCTCTCCCTCTCGCTCCCAGCTCCCTCCCTCCCTCTCTCTCTGCCCTTGTCCACGTTCTATCCTGCTAGCGTCCCTTTGAAAAATGTGATGAAACGTCTGACGCGATGACCTGCAGAATCAAGCATTAAAGGGCTGCTCCATCCATTTATTGGTTTGTTCTCATTAGATTTTTTTATTTCATCCCGGTGGTGTTACTTATGTATCAAGTGCAGAAGTTTATCCCATAGATATGACCTGACATGCACAGACTCCCAGGAGAAAGGACAGTTTGTGTCTTGTCCCATTGAAGAGAGCGATACCACGGCATCAGCCCCCCCCCCCCCCCCCCCCCCGTTCGGAGACGGCTGTCCCAAGGCGACGTAAAGAGGAGAAAATATTATAATCACGCTCCAGTCAACCCTCTCCATCGGCCCTTTCCGACTCTGAAGCCGTTTTATTCCTCTCTACCAACCCACCAGACTCCATTAACAAAACACTCATTTCCCCTCGCAGGATAAGAGAATATACACAGCTTCCGAACCCTTTTAGTTCTTTTCAAACCTGGCAGAGCCGCCGCCGCGTTCGCATCACTCCCAACGTCACCGAGTAGCCCACGTTAATCACAGCTTTTTACCAACTGCTGACAAAAAAATAACCCCACTGACCCCTTGGAAAGAATCTTGGCTTTCATAGTAATAAATGTATTTAGTCAATGTAACCTCTGAGAAATAGCGTTAAGACGATGCGGGTTTGACGTGGTGATTGTGACCCAGACTGCCTCCTCTGGTCTCGTCATCCTCTCCCCGTGACAAATATCAGCCGCCTCCCTGCAGCGCTCTCCGAGCCGGCTGCTCCCGGGCCGCGTCAGGCCCCACAGGAGCCCCACAGGAGCCCCCCGTCAGCCCCCGCCCCCCCCGCCCCGCCCCCCCGGCCCCAGCCTGCTGCCGTGACTCATTTTGCGCCCTCTGAAGCATAATGATGATGAATTTCATCTCGCGCGGCACGCAGCCAACGTTCCCAAGTTCACAGACAGACGTACCCGAGTGCTCGTACACAAACGTGCGGGTGAGCTCACGCCATCGTCCACACACACACACACACACACACACACACACACACACACACACACACACACACACACACACACAGACAGAGCTCACCCCAATCTGTCCTCATCCCCCACGTCCCACCTCTCTTTCCAATCTGTGGGCCTGTCAAGCAAAGTGTTGTGGAAGAGGGAGGAGGGGGGCAGTAGGGGGTGGTGGGGGGGGGGGGGCTCCCTGTGGTCTTCTCCCTCCCACTGAGTGTTTCCACAGTCACTCAGCCGAAAAGACAAACACTGAAATGCGGGAATGCAGGAGAGAGGAGACAGTAATACCCTCAAAAACTCTCATCGGGCCCCTCGGAGGAGATATGTGTGTGTGTGTGTGTGTCTGGCAGATGTAACCTGAGGGGTTTTTACGCACAAACACCCTCATATACACTTTGCCTTTCCATCATCTCTCGCTGGCGGATCGAGCCCCGAGTCACAGGAAGGAACCCGGCGCTTCGACCGCTGCAGAAGGCAGAAACTATACGTTACAGCGGGGAGCAGACGGGTGATGGGGGGCAGGGGGGGCAGGGGGGGTCACTGAGGTCTGGACTTGTATCATACAGCAGGAGAGCACACGGAGAGGCCCGAAAAAGGAGGAGAATGCTTGACCGCAACACTCTTACTGAACACTCCTGCAGGGGATTTGGCACTCTGACACTTGAAGCCTCCGTTTCCCTCTTTTCTAAATTAAAACACCGCCTGCATCCCTCTCATTACCACGCTTTTGGGTTGATGGTTTAAAAAATTCTGTTAAATTAGCATCCGAACAGATGCAAAGCGCCTCGTTGCAAAGTCTCTCCGACAACCCGGTGACACATAACGGGAGGATTAACACCCCAAACTCTCCGCTTTTCAGCCGAACCAAAGCTGATTTTAATGAGCCTCTACAAACGTACATTAGAAATAAATATCTTGGAGATTTAACAAAATATCAAAATGATGCTTCCTTCTCTTAGAAATGGCTAAGAGGATTAATGTGCCCCTCTTTTTTTTTTTTTTGACATCTCAGATTTGTTTTGGTTCCTCCCGCCTCGTCTCCAGAGTTGTGTTCTTGTAATTACGAGCAGATCAAAAACCGGAGCAATAAGTGGGCTGGATGCTAAGCTGTGAAGTTCTGCTGGGATACAAACCGGGTCAGGGGACACAGGGAGGACGGAGGACATGTCACAACAACAACTGCAACAAGTAGGGAGCATTCGGGCGTGAGTAGGCGGGACGTTGGCTTTCCTAGCAGAGCTGTCACTCACACTTGAATGACACGGAGCGTTTGACCAACGCAAGCTGTAATTTGGCCGGTGAACAAACCCGGGGGGGGCGGGCATGAGGCAAGTTTACAGGGACGGGTTATTTGCAGCTGTATTCTGCACTTAAAGCCGGGGAAGGAGTGTGGGGGGGGGGGTGGGGGGCAGATTTATTTTTGGCGTCGTGAAATCCACGAGAACCTTTCAAGTACTAGTCTTTTCATTTCAGACATCATTAAAATCACAGCCATCGGGCTCCAGGTGCCGTTATAAAGCTTTGAGAACTGAGGCTGGCGGCCTGCGAGGCGCTCGGAGGACGGGACGGCCAATAGGAACGCGCTGCCTCTGCAAGGTCCCGTGGTTGGCGCTGCCTAAAAGTAGCACATCACACGCTGTCAGCGACAAAAGGGAGCTGCGTTGTCTTTTAAAAAAAACACTCGGGTGATGGTTTCCTTCCTTAAAGAGTCTCCTGACGTATAGAGAACGCCACATTCAGTATGTGATGCACGCTGTATAGTAAATGCAAAAAGAACCATAATTAACCACTTAACCAGGCGGCAACCTCTGAATCTGAAAAATGGCACTAATGCTTCACTAATTTCTATTGTCCAGCACCTCGTCTGATTGCACTCCTGTTGATTACGCATTGCATCGTGGGGCAGTTGGGCATGTGCAAGTCGTACGAGTCTGGGCCCCCACACATGAAATGCTCGCGTCAGACTCAGTGTGATGGTGTGACCTTTGCAGACGTTAATGCACGTTTAAAGTCCCTCCCCCGACCTCAGCGGACACGAGGACTCACCTGCGGTCTGAAGCAGGAGGAGGACCAGCAGGGTCTGCAGTCCACTCACAGGCAGTGCGCCCCGCATCCTGCCGCACCTGAAGACACACAGACAGAGGGGGGTAAGAGACGTGAGTGCACAGAGGAACACGTTACCCTTGTGAAAGGCTCGGATGAGTCACCCGTCGCAATCTCCTTTTCATGTGGCTTTTTTCTTCTTTTTTTTCTCTCTTCCCGCACATGCGAGGGCCTCAGGATGGAGGGCGGTCAGCTCCTTCTTCATTCCAATTTAGCGTTTCATAATGTGGGAGTGAGGAGGTCTTCTCGGGCACGCTGTGATTAAAAGCCCTTAATGGCTACACAAATAAACTGGATTTAATGGCGTTTTATTTTTGCATGACAAAGAAATCATCTTTACACTTCACACAAGTTCTGGTTAAAGCAATCCCAGCATGCACTGGGGAGAAGGCAGAGGGAAGTTGGGGGGGGGGGGGGGAGAGGGAGATTCGGCCCTTTTCCCAGTGTGTCTCGTAAGCCGCGTCCCCCAGAAGCACTGGCAAGTCTGTGGATCTCAAATGAGAACCAACTTGAATGTCGGCGGCGCTAAACACAGAGGTCCGGTCCGCCACGGTGACGGGAGAGATTTAACTAAAAAGCGCCGCCGCTGTAGAGGCTAAAAGGAGCTGCTGTCTTAAGACGGTTGAGACGGAATCGGTGGAAGAAGAGACACAACGGCGTGCAGTTTACCTTGTAAACAAAAGCTTTGTTTGGGTGATACGCGGTTGGGAATTATCAGAGCGTACCAGCTGTGTGCAGAATACAAAGAGGGGGGGGGGGTCTGATGCATCTCTACAATGGAAACAGAAAATAAGCCGACGTGACGGACTTCTGTGTTCCCTCGCTGCGCGCTGAAAACCCCGCCGAGCAGGAAAAATATCAAAGCGCCGTCAACGCTGTCACGTTAAATATAGAAAAGGATCTATTTGAGGGCCCAGGTTGTCGGGAACAAGTTGATGTGAATCGTATGTCTGAATCGGTTTGTGTGGACAGATTTGGTCTTTTTTTAACTGGGGAATTTTGGTTCTCTGTCCTCAACACACACAGACCCTGTGTGTAAATAGTGAACGTGGCGTGGCCTGAGGGAAGGAGAGGGGGGGGGGCATGGGTGGAGGTCATGGGGGGTCAGATCGCCAGCGTCGGTTACAGCGGCGTTGTTCGGAGACGCTCTCCTGCTTTCTTCTCTCAGTCTCTCGTAGAGACTCAGAGAAAAGACAATTAAAGAAACTTAGCGGAAAAATCAACCAGCACAAACTATTTTTTTCATACAGATTTATGTCAGAAAATGCTGCTTTGCAAATGGGATCATGGGAGTAAATGACTGGAAAGTCGCTACCACGGCAACCCGTGCAGAGTGGTCTGTGATGTCCGGTCTGATCCGTCGCCCATAAGTGTGATCGGGTCTTGCCTGCAAGTAGCAGAAGTAAACTCGGGGAAACTGTCTGACCGGTTTGCTCCTTCAATGCTTCTTGAATTGCATTAAGACCACATTTGTGCATCCGAGGCTGAGGCCCTTCTATTGTGTTGCTCTTTGGTGGGGTATAAATATGATTATCTGAACATAGAATGGGCGGCGGCTCCCTGACAAATGACCCGCATTATCTAATACACAGGGCAGCCCTAATTAGCGAGGAGATACAGAGACTTGTTATCGCACTAGAATGTCAAATCTGCTTTATTAAAATGAAGCTAAATTACATTCTTAGTTTTGTACTACAGCTTCCATCAATCAGCATATTTTGAAAATTAGCTGGTGCAAGTGCAAACTGCACGTATCCGCTTAATGGTCAGTTTGAATCTGCTCTTCCTTTTCGCTCTTCAGCAGCTCCTCGTGACTCGCGTCTCCCTTCCTTCTCGGCCCCCCATCACCTCCATCACACTTACGCTCCGCTGTTGAGCTCCTCTTTTATTTCCCAGTGCTTTGTTTGGCCTCCTCTCACATCCACTGTGTACAGCAGCAGAAACGGAGGGCGGAGGGGGCTTCAGTCCCATCAGCGTCTGTGTAGAAGTCCCTTAGAGTGAGGAACGAGGCCACACTCGGAGGGACAATAGAGTGTTTTCCTCAGCGGGCGGGTATTACCAGGTTTTAGAAGCTGTCACACTGTGTTACACATAAATGGCTTTCGCGGTTCGCATTTTCTGCACCAACGGGGTCGGTTCCGTGTTCTCTCCTGTCTTACAGCGGGCATCGTCTTCTTCGGGAGTCACCGCGCGGGACAAAAAGCACTTAGGAAGAAAACAAGGGCTGAGTGGGCCGCTGTATTCCAGCTTATGAAACCTGTATGAGGAGGAACAGCAGGTCACAAGGCCTTTGAAAAGGTAAATAAACGGACAGAGAACCTTCCCTGAAAGAAACGGTTCAGATCAGTCACTGATAACTCTGGGTGTGGCGGGGGGGGGGGGGGGGGGCGGTTAGAATCTAAAGGGGCCAGAGGTGTGAGATGGGGAGAGACGGCAGGACAGGTGGACGGACGTCGGGAGGAAAGAGGAGTTAAAGACGAAGACGCTGTGAAACGGAGAAAAGCCAAAACTTATTTCACTCAAATCTCAAATGCAAAGACTGGCTTGGTAGAGGAGGGGGAGGGGGGGGGGGGGCTTGAATCCTAAGCAGCCATACATTTCCCATGATGCTCGGCTAGGCCCAAGCGGGAGCTGCTACAACCGATGTGAAGGGAATATTACAGGGCTCCCAAACAAAACTAATAAGACTGCCAATGTCTACAAAATGACATTCCCGTATGATTAACATGGACGCTCCTCTCCTGGGTGAAAGTCCGCTGTGTTGTTTTCATTTTTTTCCTGCCTTAAACACGTCAAAAAACAGGACTGACGTTGCACTCGCTTTGCATGGGAGGAGAACAGGGTGAAGAGAAGAAGGAGGAGAAGACGCATGAGGGAGAACGATGTTATGAAAATTGAATGTTCAAACGCACAAAAGACGCGCACTCGCCGCGTGAGTGACGCGTGCAGATGCTCCTGCGAGAGTCGAGCACGCATGCACATGGCGGAGAGCCATCAGCGGCGCACACATCTGTGCAGACATCTCCGCTCTGCAGGCGATTCGTTTGCAGCGCCGTGACAGCACGGGATCTGGGCTCTTTATTGTCACTGCGGTGCTGTTTTTCTCATTGATGCACTTTATTTCGTGCAAAGCGTTACGTTATAATGAAAGGTGCCACAGAAATATTATTCAGGAAGCGAGGTAAAGAGGGAAGGAGGGACGGAAGGGGGGAGGGAAGAGGGGATGAGGCGGGATGAGGCCGGGATGAGGCCGGGATGAGTATGAGACCGGGATGAGGCCGGTATGAGTATGAGGCCGGGATGAGTATGAGAACAGGATGAGGCCGGGATGAGTATGAGAACGGGATGAGGCCGGTATGAGTATGAGGCCGGGATGAGTATGAGAACAGGATGAGGCCGGGAATGAGTATGAGAACGGGATGAGGCCGGGATGAGTATGAGGCCGGGATGAGTATGAGAACAGGATGAGGCCGGGATGAGTATGAGAACGGGATGAGGCCGGGATGAGTATGAGGCCGGGGATGAGTATGAGAACAGGATGAGGCCGGTATGAGTATGAGGCCGGGATGAGTATGAGAACGGGATGAGGCCGGGATGAGACCGGGATGAGGCTCGGATGAGGCCGGGATAAGGCCGGGATGAGACCGGGATGAGGCCGGGATGAGTATGAGAACGGGATGAGGCCGGGATGAGGCCGGGATGAGGCTCGGATGAGGCCGGGATAAGGCCGGGATAAGGCCGGGATGAGACCGGGATGAGGCCGGGATGAGTATGAGGCCAGGATGAGGCCGGGATGAGGCCGCGCTTGTTCCGGCTCCATCGCCGCGCAGCTGAAAAGTGCTGTCAATTACAGCAAAGTGTTCCGCTGCACAGCCGGCGTGCACAAGCCCACGCGTGTGCTTTTCATTCTTCAATTTTAAATATACTTGGTATGGTAAATGGTAAAGGGGTGTGCGGGGGGGGGGGGGGGGGCACTATACTAGACTATATAGGAAGCCATTACTTTGGGCTGAAAGCCACCCAGGTATTGCTGCTAGAAGAGGAGGGCCGGCCATTCGTACCAACAACACATTACCGGAGAAGGAGGAGCTCACTCTGCTGTACATGTGCAAAAAGAAAGGGAGATAAAGTAACATACTGCACTGAGTAAAGAGGGACTGAGGGAGGGAAGGATTCCTCTGAAAAATGAGGTGACAGAAAGCTTTTTACGGGTGGGCAGGCAATTTTCAAATGTCTGAGGCCTCTCTGCAAAGCCACTTTACGTGGTGGCAAATGTTAAACTTGTTCTGGGCGCATCAAGGTCCCCTTGGCCGCCTGCTCGTCTTCGCCAGGAATATAAATACGGCCTGAGATGTGTGTGTGAGGGGGGTCTGGGGGGGGGGGGGGGGGGGGGGTACTGTCAGGGTTCACATACGCATGTGTTTATATGGATTTTAATGGCTTTGTGCTTTCATGTTAAGTCTCAGCACGACATATCATTTAGATTTTATTGTTCCAATAAATTCCAATTCCAAGTTCATCAATGACGTTTTTAAGTGAAAATTGTTAATTGATCTATAAAATTTCCAAGACTTCCAAACTCCAAAAGCCAGTTTTACAATTGATGCAAACAGAAGAAAAAAAAAATGTAAATCCTCACATTTTATGAGCTGCAATATTTTTACATTTTTGGTTTAAAAAGGTTTATGCCCTCAGTGTCCTCGTTTAATAGACAAATCTCTTCCGCATTGCAACATTCAAACGACTGAAAGCGTCTTAAGAGAAAAGCCGGATGAGCCGGAGAGAAAACAACAACACGGAATGTTGATTTACCGACGCTGTAAAACTCAAGTAAACATCAACTATAACTTAAAATCGCCCATCTGCGTTAAAACTGGCCTGATAAGATGACAGGAGGCGTGGCGACCTTACACGGGTACAGTCTGTGGTTTCATAACCAATACCTCTCCAACACACACACACACACACACACACACACACACACACACACGGAGACGTTACATAATGAGCTCTCCTGTAC